TCCTGGAATCAGCGACTGATCAGTTTCAACAGTGGCTGAATCTCGAGCCTGGGACAGAAAAGCTGGGCTGCCAGGTAGGTCCCTGCAGGATCAACCCGGCAGCACCCCAGCTGCTCTGCTCCCGGCTTCGCCGTTTCAGCTGCTGGTCAGTTTCAGCAGCAGCTGAATGGGGGAAGCCTGTCCGGCTGCCCCAGCACTTCCGGGTTCCTGATGGTGCCGGACCATCAGGAGTCCCGGAGCATTGGATGCCGGACTAATGGAGTTTTACTGTACTTTGAAAAATCTGGCCCTACATGACTTGCCCAAAGTAACAGAGAAGTCTTTTGTGAAGCAGAGAATTGAACAGAGGCTCCCAAATGCCCTAAATATTGGACCATCCTTCCTCCTTCACAGTTCATTTCTTCTCTTAAGTGAAAATGCTGCTGTGAGGTTATTTTTCTAACATGTTTTTTTCTAGCTACCTCTCTGCAAATGTAGCGCTGGCTCTGAGCCCCAGTCTATACTACAAAATTATTTCACTATGACTGTATCACTGGGGGGAGAGGGAGAGAGTAGCTGTGTTAGTCTGTAACTTTAAAAACAAGTAGTGCTGTGACATCTTAGAGATTAATAAAAATATATAGAATTATGAGCTTTCATGGGTAAAACTCATTTCGTCAGATGATCACTTGGGGTGTGAATAATCCATAGCCCTGAGCAACATAATTATAACACCCTAAGCATTGGTGTAGATATTGCTTTGTCAGCGGGAGAGCTTTTCTCACCAACATAGCTACTACCTCGTGTGGAAGTGGACTTATTAAGCTGACGGGAGAGCTCTCCCCCTTCGGCCAAGAGCAACTTCATTGGAAGCGCTACAGCTGAATCAGTGCAGATGTGTCAATGTAAATTTCTTGTGTAAACCTACCTAGAGCTTGGGTACTTTCCATTTCATGTATCATCACTATTACTAAGGGTTCTGTAGCCCGACTTAGCACCTCATTTAAACCTGGGCAACATCATTAGATGTTCACTGACGTGCCATCCCATTGCCTTCTTGGGTAACTTACTGGGATGTAAGCAATATCTATACTGCCCTGAAGTTTGGACTAATGGGTTGTGAAGGACAGGGTGTACCAAAGTGCTGTGCTGTAACTCCCCTGGTGTGATGCTACGGTCATGAACTGAAAGATTCTTAGTTCTCATTGATGTTTGAAGAAGATGGTGGTAACACAAACCAGAAACCTTTTAGTTGCACCCATAGCTTCCACATGGAGTGATCACACAGCACTTTAGTGCACATGGCTATTCACACCTCTACAGTTCAAATTGCAGCATAGTGTAGACAAACCCTCAGTAAACAGACTGTTACTGATGCCCAGAATGAAACAGAATTCCCAGGCTCACTTTTATTTTGGAACTGGACTTTTAATACTCCATTCATCTGAAGAAGTGGATTGTACCCACGAAAGCTCATGATACCATCTACATGTTTTGTAAGTCTTTAAGATGCTGTTAGACTATTTGTTGTCTTCTCTGTGTTGATCTACCAGCTAGCAGGGATTAAAAGGTCTAGTAACTTATTTTTTTTATTCTCTAAAGTTAGGAGATCTGACTCCGTTGAGTGAAATGATTCCATTTTTATAAAGTCACAATATGAAAGGAACACATAAGTGGAGAATTTAGGAGTCTTACTTTGCTTCAAGAGCTAGAGCAAAAATCCCTGCTGCCAATGGAGCAGATGCAGAGGTCCCAGTGTGAGTCTCAGTACATTCATTATGAAGGTCAGCACTTGTCTGAAAGAAAACAACATGACTAAAATTAGCATGAAAAAGATGAATGAGCATTATTGTATCCACACATAAAAACAAAGTTATGCATCCTTTATCCAGTGCATCTTAATTCACTGTAGAAAACTTTCTCCTGTGTACTAAATAATGGACGTTTAAAATCTGAGGATAAATTCAATCTATTCCTCCTACTATATCCATTTCAGCTATAATTTTTGTATCAAAATGCCTTGTATTGGAAAAAGTACTCCCACATTGAATATCTTGCCTTATTCTGAGATCTGAGAGATGTAAAAATAAGTGAATCAGACTCATCTGTGAATCATAAAAACCCATCATTGTGTTTGGTCTAGGACATTTAAAATTACTGCTTGCTTAAAAATTACTCACAGGATTAGTAGTAGCGTTCTGCTTTCTCTTCAGCAGAAGCACTATAATTTGCAAATGAAACATGCATTTTATTTGAAAATGAAGTACCTAATTCCTCTGCCCGTGTGCTTGCAATATATGAAATTGGATATGCTGAGTGCTTTGCATCTCAGCTACAGAGAAGCCACTTTGGAAGGGCATTCTTTTGACCTACTGAAATGAAAAGTTATTTTAACCTCCATCCATGCGGTATACTGTGAGATTATCATCTTCCAGATCAGAGCTGTTGTTATTAGGTTACTTAAATGCTACTTGATGGTCCCTGCCATAAAAAAGAAATTATGTGTGATCTATATACACACACCAGTATCTATCTATCTATCTATAGATATCTAGATACGCACAAAAAAATATTCCATGCTGTAAAGATGGACCTAAACATGTATCATGATTGGAGGCTTCTAGGTGTTACCGCAATTAAAAAAAAGGAGACGAAAAATCTAATTCTGCCTCCTGATGAGGGACATTTGCAAGCTTCTGAGAATGCACAGAACCATGCAGAAAGTGTTGAACATCTAGTACAATCAAGCTCAGATTTTGTGAAATTCAGAGTTGCTTTGAAAACCAAATTTTTTTCACTACAAGAAATTTTGAAAAAGTCATTTTATTCCTGAACAAAGTTTCAAACTGCTTCAAAGTTATAATTTTTGTTCCAAATAGACATTCTGACTTTAAAGCAAAAATCTGAAACTTGTTTATTAAGATTTCAATAATAATTTTAAAAAGACCTACTCAATGCTTTAGATCAGTGTTTCTCAAAGTGGGCTCTGGGCCCCCTTTGGGAAAGCTGCTAGCAGGCCCACACTGCTTGTTTACCTAAAGGGTCCATAGCCAATGAGGCTCTGGGGCTATGGACGCTTTAGGTATGCAAAGTGGTATGGACCGCTAGAAGCTTTTCCAAAGCAGGCCCATGGTCCACTTTGAGAAACACTGCTTTAGGTGTTCTCACGCCTCATTAAATATCAACAGGATTACGATAATTTCAGTTTAGCCACACACCTATCACACTCCTTTCCATTCTCTTCAGTGTGCTTGGAAACAAACTCTCAGGCTTTTTAGAAAATCCTCAGAAACAGAAGAAGTCTTTTTCACTATTTCCTGAAGGTCACCAAATTTAGGCTATTTCAAACAAAGATGGGGTGAAGAAACCTGGTATCTTCAAAAAAAATGCACAGCCAACTGCCTACTCTCTTGGATAATGAGTAGGGAGGCTGAGGCACTGCTATGTGCCATGAAATGACATTTTAAGTTGGAGCGAAATTGACATTTTCATTTCATTTTTAAGCATCAATTACAAGTACAATTTTTCATTTTGGCATTGCTCCCAGGAAAACCAAAAATTACCTATCCAAATTGACATTTTACCACTGGACATTTTGATTTTGACTCAGCTATATTTTGGAATACAACAATTTTCCACCAAAAAAGTCAACTCTACTAGTGTTCATGATGGGCACTTAGGCCAGCTGACTGTTCATGATAGGTAGTGGAAATTCTTAGAGATTTCCTAATGTAAGGGGACTGTTATCCCCTTACTAAAACTCTGTGGGAGTTTTTGGTTTGCCAGCTCTCAGTATCAAAAGGGGGAAGGGTCCATGAGACTGACAGACCCCAGAGACAATGGAAAGCAGCCAACACTCCAGCTCAGCCTGATTGACAGGTTGGACAGGCCAGTGAGGAGAGTGAGAGGCCAGGCCCCGTCCTCCCTGTGAGCTGGGATTGTTCTGGGTCTCTCTGAGCAAGGAGAGAGCTGAGAGACAGCTAAGAGCAGTGCAGGCTGTGTGCAGAAGAAGTCCTGCAGCAACAGAGCCAGACACACACAGCTCAAGGAGCACAGACTCTGTGTTGAACAGCAGACTGGCAGTGCTCAGAGAAGCCAAAAGGGATAGAGAAGCAACACAAGGAGCTGGAGACTAAGGGTGTGTCTAGACTACCTAGTTTTGTCGACAAAAGTGGACTTTTGTCGACAAAACTATACCAGCGTCTACACTACCGCTGAGTTCTGTCGACATAATGTTGACAGAA